CAACCAGGTATCGAACTTAGAACATATTACTCACTATACCACGAGGGCTTAATGATAATGCTTTATTCTTCCCACTAAAATAAATATACTGTACATGCACAAACTTTTTATATGAATTCATAGTAAAAAATAACGTTTTTCTATATATCCTATATCGAACTATAATAAATTTGAAAAAAAATTCTACGTATATAAGGGCGTTAATTTAAAAACATCAAAATACCTAACAAGGTTAAAAAAAAAACCAAACCAAAATATAATATATCAATATTATTAAATCGGTTTTTTATTACCATACAAACTTCGTAAAAAAAAAAAAAAAAGCTTTCAATAAATAACAAATTCGATGTTTCAAATTAGAAATTGGAACCGTTTAATAGTTTCGGGCCGATTATGTTGATCGTGAGCCAAATTATCTTAATGTCAGTTAAATTAAATAACCAATAACGACAAGGTTAATGATTAAACGATTACAACATTAGAAATTTCAGGGGGTCCAATCTTAATAAGAACGAAAAATTTTTTATATAAGTGTGTCGAACATCGACTATGAGGAGTAACGTAGTTTTAAAAATTCTGATAAAGGATTTATTCATTTTAAATATACAAAATAGTAATAAGAGATTCATTGAAAATAAGTATTCCTTATAATGAATGGTTATTTGAATTATGGATCGCGTCAAGACCAATGTAAAATAATGTATAGTGATTAAAAAGTCGTTATTTTCGATATGTATTGCTACGTTTGACATTACTCACGGGCGGACTCTGAGAACGTATGTGGGGATTTCCGGATCCATGATCACTTGTTGCACTTGTTGAACTAGCCGCGCTCAGCCGTCTTCTGGATTGGTCTGCCTGCAGCGATCCTGTATTAACGTTTGCACTACTGGTGCTTACTCCAGTGATAGTACTTCCACGATGATCAGTGGGCGATAGGTTTCCACTATTGTTCTTATTGGATATTGATGTCACAGATTGCGATAAGTTATTACTGCTTGCCGGAAGCGATGTACGATCACGAATACGACGATTTCGGGTAGTTTGACTACCAGAATGACCAAGAGAATGCAGAGCTACAGATTAATTGATTATGTGACAATATGGCCAAAGTAATAATAATAATAAATAATAATAATAATAAATAGATAAAAATTAGATTTATAACAATTGGCAAAATAAATTATTTAATAAAAACAAAGACTTACTTTGTTTTCTAGTCTTCTCATGCTTTGCTTGTACTGTCCGAAAATGAGTTAATAAATCTTGAAATTTAATACCGTCATCCTTTACGTATGATTTTGTTGCTTGTCGTTTAGTATCAGTTGGTGATGCACTAAAATTTACATAAAAACAAGCATTTAATAAGGAAAGGAAATTTAATAATTCAAAAAAAAAAAACATATTTACCTTCTCGGAATCAAATGTAAAAATCCCATCGATGAAACACTAGTCAATCTATTTTTCAAACTGGCAAACGCACTGCTCTGCGGTAAGAGCATTAACAACCCATAAAGGCATTTAAAAAGATAAGGATATTTATCTGGCTCGAGAAGTTGGAGGCGTAAATCTGTTAGATAAAGATAATACTATATAAGATCGGCATTATTTATAAATATAGCGTGAAATATATAATAATTATATACATGTAAAGACTGGCGATTCAAGTAACTGAACTAGTTTATCTATCTGAATTAGCAAGTTAACTGTGATATCTAGGTCA